AATGGGGGCAAACACAAAAGTGTTGCGTTTATAATTTTGTTCAGTGTAGTTAGGGCTGGATCAGGTGACCCTGAGCCTTCCCTTAATTATGCTGCTATAGGCCTAGACTGCTGGGGGGGCATGATGCTCTGAGGTTCTCTCTCTCTGTCTTGTTGCTTTTCTTCTTCTCTCTCTCCTCTATCCGCTCACCCCAACCGGTCGAGGCAGAAGGCCACCCATAATAGCCGGGGTCTGTCGGAGGTTTCTTTCGTTAAAGGGAGTTTTTCCTCCTCGCTGTTGCCAAGTGCTGCTCAGGGGTATTTGTTGGGTTTTTCCCTCTGTAATAATAATAATAATAGCAGTAAGGTTTAGAATTGACTTTGTAAAGTGTCCTTAGATGACTTTTGCTGGGATTTAGCGCTATACAAATAAAACTGAATTGAACTGAATCCCTGGTAGGAAATCCACCAGCTACCCAGTAGGATGTAAAGTACTTCACAGTATAAGTATATAAGGTAGTTACCATCAGCTCCACCTTTACCAGCTGCAGCATTAAAGCTATGAACACAGTAACCGCATCAGTCACTATGATCCAGTATCAGAGACATTACATTACTATATTTATATATCGCATTGAATGGCTAACAGTTGACTGACAAAATTCTTAACTGGGTACAGCCTTAGTATTTTTACATACTAGTAGTAGAATACTTCTTCCACCACCAGTTCTTGGTGATAACACTATAGCTGGTGCAGATCTGCAGAGGAATCATCAGTGATCTGACTGACATTCAGGAAAGATACCAGTGATATCAGTGTTAGTATAAAGTCACAGCTGTCCATAATGTGTGTTTATTGTTCCCTGCAGACATCCAGCACCTACTGGTGATTAAAGAAGAGGACCCCCTTCTGGAAAGCCGCAGTCTAGACCGGGAGGGCTCCAATCTGGACCGAGAGGACTGCGATCTCCACCACATGAAAGAGGAAGAAGAGGAACTCTGGACCAGTCAGGAGGCAGAGCAGCTGCAAGGACTGGAGGAGGCCAATGACACCAAGTTCCTGTTCACTGGTGTCCATGTGAAAACCGAAGAGGATGAGGAGAGACCTCAGTCTTCACAGTCTCTTCAGTGTCAGAGTAAGGAGGAGCCTGGAGCAGAGAGCTCAGCTGGACAGACTTGTTTCAGCTGCTCTGAGTGTGGGAAAGGGTATAACTGCAAAGAACACATGAGAGTCCACACAGGAGAGAAACTTTTTGGTTGTGATGATTGTGGGAAAAAATGCACCACCCAGGCAGGTATTAAAAAGCACACAAGAGTCCACACCGAAGAGAAACCTTTTGGTTGTGATTGTGGGAAAAAATTTAACCAATTGCGGCATCTTAAAAGGCACATGAGTCCACACAGGAGACAAACCTTTTAGTTGCGGTGAGTGAGGGAAAAGATTTACCACACAGAGTGATCGTAGAAAGCACATGAGAATCCACACAGGAGAGAGACCTTATATTTGTGGTGAGTGTAGGAAAAAATGTACCACCCAGGCAGCTCTTAAAAGTCATGTAAAAGTCCACACAGGAGAAAAACCTTTTGGTTGTGATGCTTGTGGGAAAGGATTTATCTTGCAGTGGACTTAAGTTGCACATGAGAGTCCACACAGGTGAAAAACCTTTTGTTTGTGGTAATTGTTAGGTATTTTTAGTCAGATAGATATTGGTCAGATACTTGTTGTATTAGAAATGTTTAGAGTAGACAGGATGTCTAGTTAGGCAGTCTCATGAATGCTGCAGGATGCTTATGGTCAAGGATAACTAGATAGAAAAGTTTGACTGTCAGCAGACTGGATGTTTAATACTATTAGTATGATGTGTATAACTGTAGGCTTAGCCATAATATTTTCTTATGTTTAATGTCATGACATGTCACTAGAGGTCGTGTTAGAATGTTTTTAGCTACACACCACAATCAACAGACACACACACATTGATTTTCTTCATGTTTTGACTATTGCCATGGTCAGCTGCAAAGCTGACACCGGGACACGTCACGGTTTGGCGTTCCTGTTAGTATGGGGCTAGCCCAACCTAAGTGATAAATGTATAGGCCTGTTGGGTTCAGGGTCTTTCATCTTTCAGCTGCCTGCGTGCATGTTGGAGGTGCAAGATACCTGAGCGTGTAATGTTAATTTTTACCTGTGTTCATTGAATAAATCAGCACTGTTTTGAAGTTACTTGGACTGCCTCGTCTCAGAGTTAGCATGGTTAAAAGAATCGGAATGCTACAATGTGTATGGTATAGTAGCAGTGCAGTGGCTCAGAGGAAAGCTAATACAGCCCAGGATTGTTGGCTGCCCTCTTCTCACTCTGGAAGAACTACACAGTTCCTGCTGCCTCAAAAAAGCCCAGAACATAATTAAGGACACTTCATACCCAGGACGTTCACTCTTTGAACTGCTGCCATCAGGTAGACAGTTCAGAGCAATCAAATCAAGGACCACTAGATTCAAGACTAGTTTTTACCCAACAGCAGTTACCCTACTCAATGCTGCTAAAATATAATATGCCTGTGTGTGTGAGAGGGGGGTGTGAGAGGTCTGTTGTTTATTTCGTTTTTCTAGCGGTTAGGTTTTTTTTTTATATGGTCTTATTTCATATGTTATGTTTTTTTTCTATTACTGTACCAACTGGAGGTCACTCTAAAATTTTGTTGTACGTGTTACAATGACAATAAAGGATTATCTATTGATCTATCTATCTTTTAAAAAAGTCGTGCGAGCGAGAGTTTGTGAGACATGTATAAACTGAGTTGCTTGTGCATAGAAATACTAGAGCATACGTTTACCTCATTTTTTGAGCTTTAGGTCACATCTAAGATGATAATTCCTCGTTATTATGTTGTAGATAAGTCAAAAAATGAGGAAAAGCATGCCATGGGCTATTTAATAAATCAGTTTGACTTTTTTTGTCATTTAACTTTTACTTTTATACCTTTAATGAATGCAGTCGATACAGAGCCTCTCCTGAGTATGTGAACCTGAAACTCTAATGTCAGAGCAGCTGTCTGCGGTGACAGTAAGCTGCTCTCCACCATCTCCCATTGTGCCAAGTTTCCCAGCTCAATGGGGCCTCCAGCTGTAGCTTCAGGTGAGACGTTGACCTGTAAGTCTGGGTTGGCTGAGCCAGCCTGGGCGCTGCCTTGTATTCTAATGACAGTAACATTTCTGTAATGCTTTCTGTAGATAATGTCAAATAAAAATGTGAATAATACCTTGGATCTGACCTAAAAGCCTTTTTCAGGTCAATAGAGTAGAGGGCGTGTTGGACTTCTCCACAGGTAAGAGGCCTAAAGGCAAAACTAGGGGATACAAAACGTCTTGGTGGATACTGACTTCCACCAAAATCAGTACAATTTTAACCACAGTAACATTATCTTTGCTACACTGTGATGGCTCTGGACCCAGTTCAAACAAGACATAATGTAAGTAATACAAAGGCACAGTGTCAGCTGTAACATACGAGGTGTGTGAGAAAAGTTCCAGGACTGAGTGTGCTGTGTGAGCTATGAGTGGAGAATGGATTAGTGGGTTGCTTCACTGTGTGACGTAATATCCAGGGTGTGTATAACTGCAATCTCAGCTCTCTGCAGCCATTGTATGCTTTTTCAGATGCTGTTGAAACAGCTCCTCAAGTTTAGATTGTCAAGTGATGAGCACAGAGCAATGAATCAACCTGAAATTTCCGGTCTGGCTGGGGAAAACTCAGAGATCCTGTGGCGTTTGCTTTGTTCAGTGTGCGAGAAGAGGTGAGATTTGCGGCTGGACAAGTCATGGCTGCTTCATCAGGACAATACGCCGGCTCACAATGCCTTGAGCATCTGGCAGTTCCTAGCCAAGAAGGACATCTCCATGCTGAAGCAACCTCCTGACTCACCCGACCTGGCTCCACATGATTTTTTCCTTTCCCCAAGCTCAAGGGGGTCATCAATGGGACTCATTTTCCGGACATGGAAGACATCAAAAGGGCCGTGATGATGGAGCTGCAGAGAATCCTTCCAGGAGTGCATGGAGGCATGGTGGACCGGGATGGAAATGTGCATTAGACTTGAGGAGGATTAAAGGGGAAAACTTGCAGTTTGTATAATTTTTTTTGTAATACATTTTTGTGACCCCAGTCCTGGAACTTTTCTGATGCACCTAAAGTCAGTACAAGGGCGAAACACATTGGGGGGTGGAGTAGACTTTGAAACTGTACTGGCTGTGAAGCAAGACCATAACCTAAGTTAAATAGAATTATTCCTTTCATCTAACTAAACTATTGGGGGCAAACAAAACCACTCTGTGAATTAAGAGAGTGAGAAAAACAATAATCTTAACACCTATCAGCCCATGTCTGCAGCCATTTGGCCTGTCCTCAAATACCTTTGAGGTGTCACACCTAGTCTGTGAGGGTGATGGCGGACACAGACCTGCTGCTAAGGAGAGCCTAATATAATCCTTTGATGATGATATGAAAACATTTTGTCTTACTTGTTCCCATGAGAAAGCCTAGTTCTATTGATGCCAGACTGAAGACAGGTGTGCGGCTATATATTAATAAAACCATAAAATCTGGAAAATCACATGGGAGATGTGCAGCTGCATGTAATAAAAACCCAGAACCTATGTGTGAAACGTGTGATGTCATACCCCCAGAGGTGTGAAGCATATTTTGATTGCAGTACCAAAATCCTGCTCTCAAATGTTTTATTTCACTGCAGATTAAAGAAACAAATTTACCTCCATAAGCCACCAGGTTTGGCTATTAGGAATTAGACTCAGCTTTAGCTTACAAAACAATAACTGTTGCATTTATAAAACGTAATAGAAAAAACACAGAAAGGCATAAAAGCCTAAAAATTTGCTTGATCTGCATTTTTTTTTTTTTTTTTTTTTGAGCATCTTGCAACGCAAATTTCCTGAAGGCGGAAACACGGACACTTTATCCCGTGCAAGCGAGGACCCGGACTCATTAACTTCAAGCACAGTTTCACTCGGAAGCTGCTCTGTCGAAAAAGAAAGGATGTGGCTGCTGTCAATGTTGGTTCCTCTTGTCAGACTGTATTGGTGTGGAGTTAAAGTTCTACTATATCAGCTCTTCAAAAGACCTTTTACGCTGTCAGGTCAGTCTTATTTGAACTAATTTCCTATTGTCGATGATTATATGTCGGACTCCACAGGAAAAATCCTTCTTTTTGATAACGTGTAACTTCTCATTGAACAACATACATTAATAGACAAACATTATGAACCTGAAAAAAAAAGATACAGATATGAGACTTTCTCTGAGGTATAGCCGAATTTATGGAATTAACTAGAAGGGAAAGAAATAAAGGCAAATTCGTCAAAGGGATTTGCGGTAGAAAACCAAGGGAACGCTTAATTGGGGATATTCTTAACGGAAATTAGTGACTATTGGTGCGGTACATAATATGTGTGTTTAGGCAGCTACGGTGACAGTTAAGGGTGGTCGTAACTTCAGAATAGCCAGTGTTTTGTGTCTGTTTTTGTTCTTTGGCATATTTTTTTTTTATAGTTGTCTTTTATTATTTATGTATAACACCAAATCACAACAAAAGTAATCTCAGGGCACTTAGTAAAGTCTAGACTTTACTTTGTTATTATTATTATTACATTTTGTGTCTCTTTAGTAGCTTTATATCTCTTTATAGTTGGTTTGCATGTTTTTTCTGGCTTTTGCAGGTATGCTGTAGTCATTTGATTGACTTTCCAACAAAAACCTTAACATTCCCTTGCTGGTTCTCTGGTCTAGGCCCCCCTGACCTCTTTGGCCCCTGGGGCTGGTACCTGGTAGGCTCCTTCAGTAATCCAGCCAGAGCTGTATAATGTAAAATGTGTAGACTGACAATGTGTAATTTGCCTTGGATAATGCTTCAAGTATAATATCCACTACAATATTGCTGTTCATACATATTTTGTGACCATTTTTATGAAGTGTCAAATGTGAGTTCATTACAGTTAAAAACAACTAAACACTTTTATACAGTACAGTACCTCTTTAGAGGTAAAGCACAAACATTTTTCTGCTTGTGTTATATTCATAGTCACATACACTCTGTGAGGGTAAAATAGGTCTATTCATAGCATGCATATTCATTTCACATGAAATTCTGTTAGTTATAAAATAACCTGTATAAGTCCTCTCATTTGGAACAGCTGTAGTTTGCAGACTTAAAAATTATCTTATTTGTGTACCTTTTGGGTAATATGGTTGAAAATACTATCACAAAATTATTAGGGTATTTTCTGATACTTATCATGACAGCAAAACTCAGTAAAAGTGCTGTTGTAATATCAGCTACAGGTAGGATTTCCACCCAGTTTTTTAGCCTATATTTGTTTACAATTAGTTGAATTGTTCTCAATTGTGATAATGTTCTCAAATGATAATGATAGCAATACTGTATTCATGTCTGTGTTCACAGTTGATGTTATAACTCAAGGACGCCTAGAACGAGGATAAACTCAGAATTTGTGATTAATCTTCATTCTTGGCTGAAATTGAACTTTAACTGATTAAAGCACTGAGGACCATAAGATACAATTAAAAGCTGTGATAAAAAGCTTTTGATGGACCCAGAGTTCACATGATTTTGTCAAAATATTGAAAACAATGGCCACATACTCTAGAACAATTTCCTCTAAATAACCAACTGCTACACTGTTGCAGTGCACTTCATTAAAATGTAATGCTATAAACTAAAAGGAAAATGTGATAAAGCATGTGACAGTACACTGAGAAATCACTAATGCATTACACTTCAAGACAAAGAACTGATTGTGTCTCCAAATGGTAAAAAGGATTTAATACACTTAGCCTATAATCTACCAAAGAATGTAGGATACTAAGAGGATTTCCAAAATTCTTGATTTTTCTTAGAATATCCTGCACCATGACAAAAAGATAAAGACACAGTGGCTTACAATTATGAATTAAAATTTCCAGCTTGTAACATCTTTCAGTGTTGCTTATTGTGGACAACATATTGAAGTTTATTAATGTATTGTTGAGTTTAACCCAATTAGCTCACGTCAGAAGAAAAGAAAATAGATTACTGCCTTTGTGGGAATTCTGGCCAAAGTGGCATAAAAAAAAGTAGGAGGCAGGCCCCCCAAAAGCTTTATCAGGTTCAAAAAGTGGCGATTTATTTACAAGTGTACAACCATGATACATGTTTGCCAAAACAATATACATAAAGCAACCAAATAGTTAACTTGGCTTAACTGAACAAAACTCAAGTCATAATAACGCAAGTTAAATTACAAACACATGCACAAAGCTACACTTGCATGACCTCCCCTTGCAGCTGCCCCAGAGCAACTGCTTAAATATCCCTAGCATCTGGATTAGCCTTAACACTAATAATCACCCTTCCTTTCATATTTGCTTCAACCCAACTGCATCATTGATGATGTCAGAGAGTGTATAAAATGAGGAATTTTGTGGGGTGCCTCCTTTTGTCCTCTGGTTCCATGGCGAGTGTAACCAAAAGAACTACAGATTAACTTGGAAAAAAACTAAATAAATGAACACCAATTAAACATAAACAGTACTTGTATGTGTTATAATTAAAGTGCCCATGGCATGGTCATTTTGTTCATTTCCAGCCATTTAATGTTTAATTTTGAGTATGTCTAGATTAGCTTGGTACCCCTCATAACTCCAAATAGTCTAATTATTTCAGAATGATAAAACCAGAGAGCCTCTTCCTAAAAACAAGAGGATAGTGCGTGAATGCGCACAACTCCTGCTGCCGGTGTTATGTCGCAAGTGGACAGCACAACAAACCACAACAGCATTAATTAATTTGAATTTCTCCTGCATAGATAAGTAAACAGTGGTATATATATACTGATGAAAAGAGATGTGTAACACTAAACAAAGCAGATAAATGAGAAACCCCGTATTTTAACTGGCATAATGCAGACATAGGGCCAATCTAGCCACAGGCGTTGCAAGCCAGTGACTTCTGTGCCGGTCCCAAGGCCAGATAAACAGAGAGGGTTGCATCAGAAAGGGCATGTGGCGTAAAAACATCCCACATTTAAACATGCAAATCATCAGTGTGAATTCCATACTGCATCGGTCGAGGCCAGGGTTAACAACGACCGCCACCAGTGCTGTTGACCTACAGGGTGCTG